AGAATTCTGTGAATTGAAGTCCACAAGTCTTAAAGTTGCCAAGTTTGGAGACCCCTGATTTACGGTATTTATTTTCTTCTCAAAAACTAGTGAAGAAGTTTAGTAAATCGAGCAAAAATGTCAACTTCTGAAAAAGGGTTTCTTGTAGAAATCTGATGAGAACAGGAATTTGCTAATATTGGAGAATCTGCCTTTAACATGGTTTACTGTAATGTAAGAGGCCAACACAACTCTTGCTTCCTGTTTAATTGGATTAGAGATTTGTATGTAGTTTTTAAAAACTATTTCAAATTATTTTTTTTCTCCTTTTAGTTTGGATTGGACTACCTCGTCTTCAAAATCTTCGAATTGATAGCTTGAATATGAAGCATCTCTTACGTTGGGACAATCTATATGATGGAAATGTGAGCCTCATAGTACAGTTGCTTCAGTAAGAATCCTTATTATGTATTTCTTATTTTCATATTGCATCTCATTTCTACTATTTTTATTGTTTTGAAGCTTTGTGTATGTCTGCATGCTGAAATGTTTGAAGATTAGTAGGGGGTGCATATGTACATGTGCTGCCATAAGAATGATGACAATGAAGTGTCATCATTGGTGGGGCCGAAGTGTGTTTAATTGATAACAGAGATTATCTACACATATGACAGTTTAACATATTTCACTGTCTTTCACTGCCAAAGACAGAAAGATTGAACTACTCTTTGGTTAGAGCTGGAATATAATGTGCTGATAAGTATATATTTCATTCAATTAACTTTCTATTCCTACAGTGGTAACAAAGCCCGTCATTCTTCAGATATTTCTAAGGACTGGGAAAATGTATCTAAATGTGAAAATATTCAAACTAGATTTTGTGATCTCTCATCTGTCATTGGCTCCAATGGAATTTACTATCTCCGTGTGCAAGCAGTACATAGTCATAATAAGTCACCTTGGTCTAAAATCTTACAATTTGATCCTATAGAACAAAGTAAGTTTCACTATTTACATCCATTCTGTTGTTGTTTATGAATAATACACAAATAATATTGTTCATCAAAATGTCTGTAGTGTAGCTTGTAAGTAATGTGTATGTTTGTGTATGCATACAGAAACATACTTCTTGAAAGCTTACTTATAAAGCACAAAATAGCTTTATATTATAGCAGAGGGTTTTTTTTTTTAAAGTATAAACTCTCCTTAACTAATATGCAGGATGGGCAGCCTGTGGCCTTAAATAACTTATTTGAGCTCCTCCTAGTAAGCATAGTAAGTGAGGATGACATTTCCTGAATATTTAAAAGGAAAAAAATGTGGTTGGATGCTTAGGTTGCTTACAGACCCTGAAGTGCCCATTCCCTTAAAAACCTTCATACAAAACGATTGACTCATACTTTCCATTTTGAAAGAAAAATCATATCGTCCCTTACACTCTACCTAGCAACTCAATTGGACACAAAGACCAGGCAGAACAATAAGACTGAATGAATACCAACCCACTCCAGTTTGAAAATGGTTTCTCAATTGCCTGGAATATCAGAATCCCTCTGAAGTGAATGGAAATGTGGTAGCAGTATTTCACCATGAATTGCTCCTGGCAATTTTCAGTTATATTCAAAAGGATGTAATTAGAATTATACAACTATCCTACAGGCAGAGGCTGTTAAAAAGTGTATTTTTTTAAAAAATGTTTTGAAATTTTCCTTTAGTTTTAGAGTTTTAGCTTCCAATATTAGGTATGTTAAATATTTAATAAATATAAAATTATTTTAAAGCTAAAATGGGCCCACCAAATGTTTCAGTCAATGCCAGTAAGGATTCAATTGATGTTTTCATCGCTTTTCCTGGAGAGTCAGAAAACAGCCCAATGAGTAATATATATAAGCCGACTTACAACGTTTGGTACAGGACTTCATCTATCACGGTAACATTTTTATTGTTCCAAAGCAAATACACATTTGAATCAAAGCCTTTTACCTCAAACCTTCTAAAAACCTATGAAATCTTTGATAATTTTGCTGATTTTGCAGTCCAACTGGACCACTTGGAAGATGATGAAGAAATTACTGGCATGCCAGTAACAGAAGATAGTTACACATTCAAATTGCAAGTTATTAAGGACATGCCAACACTGCAGTGCATTCATAACATTTCCACTAAAGAAATGACTAGCCGCACAATGGTGCTTTTCAAACACACACACAGCCACAAAAACGTGCCTGTTTTTGCTGTGTTTGTGCTTCTGTATTCACATATTTTCAAATAATTTTCAAGTTATGTACAAGTATAGTGAATATATTTTTTTAATGAATCTTTAAATCTTAATATATCTTTTAAAAAAAGAATCCTTAAATAATATCGTACAATTTTGCCTTTTCAATTCAATATCTTCAAGTGGAAAGCATTAAACTCAAACATGTCCTCTCAAATACTGCTGACTAGGAAATAGTGCCAATGATAGTCCATCAGTTGTCACCAGTATTTTCCTATTCTTCATATTGATTGACCCTTATTTCTGCAATTATACTGTATATTGCTTCTAATGCTAAAATATTTTTCTCAGAATTTATTACGATGTAGTTATTGGTCTGGTTTATCCATGTATGTATTCCCTCTTTTGTGTTTTTTTGCAGAAGGAACTCAGACATAAACCATCACAGTTTATGATCTCAAATCTGCACTCCTCAACATTATATTGCTTAAAAGTGCAAGCATTTTCTGAAATATATAATAAAAGTAGTGCTTTTAGCAATGAAACTTGCATTAAAACAGCCAAAGGTATGTTAACATTTGATTTGGAATATCTTATATCTCTGCTCTCATTTTTAGTATCTATATTGTCCCTGTTAGTTATATTAGGGTTTCAAAGTGTAAAATTACATTCATAATTTTTATAAAAGAACTACAACTTCAAAATGTTCACAGACTTGAAAGCAGATTTTTATAAACAATATAACTGTGACTCTTTGGAATGATTTTGAGAAAGATTCAAAAGGATTGTATTTCATAATATGGCAGATTCAATAAGAAGCTATTTTCAATTTTATGTTAAATGCACAGAGCCCATGTACATTTGGATGTCCTTATTTTTGCATTAAAATAATTTGTTAGTCATAAATCTGGGAAAGGTTGAAGGTAATATTTTTTGAATCTGTCATAAATTTGAATGGTTGTTTAAAAATTGACTGTAAATCGATGATTACCTGTATTTTGCCAGACTTCTTTGGAGTTGTGTCTGGCCCCTTTGTTAGTGATATTTCAGAAGGAATTGAAAAATTAATTCTGGTGGGCTTTCAGATTTGGAACTTGCTTCTTATATATGTTTTGCAAGCTACTTTATATTGTGTTGGGGAGATGGATAATATTTTACTGTATGGCTTGTTTTTGTGTTTTCATATATTGACCAAAGTCTGGTAGTATGAGTGCTATAAAAAGCTGTGAGTAGCTAAACACTGTTGCTGGTAGGTTTGCTATAAAACTACATTTACATAAAAATATAATGTAAACCCTTTCACTGTTCTCATGTAGTGCTTGCTACATGAATTATTTTCATGGGGATGAGACTCTGCTGATTTCTATTGATAGAGAGGAAGTAATTACGTTGAGTTTCACAGATCAGTTGCTCCTGATAGTAACAAAGCTAAAATGCTGAATTAGGTTCAATGGAGGTATATTGGGGAAAAATTTAGGACTCTGAATCCAAACTACAATGAGCAAAAACGGAAGGGAAAAAAACTTTTAAGTATGTATCTAGGCAACTGTATAATTCTATCCTGCGTGATACAAGCCATCAAGGCTATTAATGAGAAAAAATCCACTTTGCTTTCTTGTACAACCCAATTTCACTCAATTTAGTTTGATTCTCTTTTTGTTTTGTAGGAGAATCTTCATCTTTCATCCTCGGCATTATTTCTGCTGTTGTGTTTTTAATAATATGCTTATTTCCTTGTGCTTGGAGATGTATAAACTATGCACGCTTCCCTAAATGTAAAACTCCAGCGGTCATAGAGGTATTTATCAACAATTTAACATATTATTTAAAATAAATACAATTAAAATAATTGTGGAAAAGTAGACTAGAAATATCACCTATGTTCATGTGGAAACTTTTAAAATTCTGTTGCGAGTGAGCACATACAGATCTCTGCGAGGATGCTGTTCTGTAGGGGGAAGATACAATGACAGAGAATTTTGATTCATTTGAGGTTATAATTGGCCACTCATGAGTACCCCATTTTTTCCCCAAGTACTCTAAATAGCCAAATTAAGTATTACACTGAAATGGCAGCTGTGAACCTAGATCCCCTCTCTGACATACAGCAGAAGCCATTCTACTGGGTAGCAGTCTGTATTTCATCTCTCTTCACTTTATTGATTGTTGATATTGATGTTTATTTTTTACTCCTGACTAAGTGAAGATAGCAAACTGTAGAGTTCCATGAATTCGCTTTAGACTCTGTTCAGTTTTTTAGTCCTATTCGAATTCCAACAATTGTTTTGGTGTCAGTTTTTGTGCAATTATTTAAGTTTTAAAGTGTATTCTAGTAATTAGGCTGGTCTGGCTAACACTCAAGAATTAATAATCTTTTCAGAATTTAAGCAGTACTTCTAAATTCCAGTGAGTTAGCTTTATCTCTATACAACTTTTGATAGGGCCTTGTATAATAAATAGTTTCAGCAATATTTTATAATACTGTAATAGTGATTATTAAATTATTTAAAAACTTATTTACATTTTTCTTATCACTTTATTTTGTCCCACTGCAGAACTTTGGAGAAAAAGATTTGAAGAGACTGTATTTCCCAACTGCAGAAGAGCAAACAGACAAATGTATGGTCATAAATTCCAGTGTTGCTCTTCCATGTAAAGTTAACCTGGATGATGTCAGATTCGACAAAGAGTTGGAAGAGATCAGTCAAGACTCAGGAAACTATTTTATTGATGACATTATTTCTGGAGATAATGAATCCCATCAATCCTCAGAACTAATAACCAGTATAACTGCAAGATAATGCAAGCTGGAAACAAGATGAGGAAAGCATCATAATGAGGAAAACTTGCTCATTATAGAAATAATATGTATTTCCATTAGTCTATAAAGAACAAAGACCTGTGCCTGAAAGTGGCCATGAGCTGCCTCCACTGACACTGATTTTGAGCTTTGTGGCCTGCTGCTGGAAGAACCGTTTACATCAAGTGAAGGAACAAATTTGTTTTCTCTTCTTAAAATGTTATAGGAAAAAAATACTTTATATCAGGGGTTGCCAACCTTTTGGACCTCAGGAACCAATTTTAGATCCCAGGGATCACTAACCGGTTCTGTGGGCATGGCTTAATTTGTGGGTGTGGCTTGGTGGTCATGTGACTGGCTGGGCATGGCTTGTATGTAAATATTATAAATATTTATATATTGAATTTTTTATTAAAAAAGAGAAACTTTTACCCAAAATCAGGCAAAGCAGGCAGGCAGATTGTGTTGCTCACAGAATCACAGATTCATTCAGAGATCTACCGGTTCTCCAGAACTGGTCAGAACCTGCTGAATACCACCTCTGGCTGAAAGGCCAGTCAGACTTGCTTGATATATATTTGAAATAATATACAGTATTCAATTTGCATCCTGTTGGAATAAACTTTATCATTTCTCACATATTCATCCAAGTGTACTGGCTGATCTTAATTGGATACCAAGGGAAGGAAATATTAACGTCAATTAAGTCAACTTATTTTTATTTGGAGGATTAGTATCTGCACAAAAATGGTTTTAAAGACCTAAATGGTAGCATATATTGTATGTGCAGATAATATTGTTCTAAGTCACAGTAAAGCAGCTGTGCATACATTTATGCAGAAGCAGCTGGGATAGTTTGTGAAGCACCTGCACAGGTTTTCCAAAATACTGTATGTTACTTTTAAGATTTGTAATGTTTTGCAAAGCATCTCTTCCAAATCCTTTGGAATAAAGTTTATGAATAAAGTTTACAGCATAATAGTGAATTATTCTGCTGACAATAATAGGAAAATGAGACCCACTTGGAAATTTAACATTCCAAGTCTGAAGCCTGACATACATGTGTGAGACAATTGACGGACTTCAATCAATTAATTGAATTAAGCTTTGTCTCTGCACCCCACAGAAGTTGGCTTTTGTGCACGGAGGAAAGTTGAGAAAAGTGCAGCAATGGAGTTTAAATCTATCCACCCCACTGAAGAAGTGCCTTTCAGTATATGGAAGGGAACTTACACCGTTCAGGACATCGCTTTTTCATCCAGCCCATGGAGACAAGAGGAAGCTAAAATCCAAGCAGGATTTTTAGCTCTGAGCAGATCTTTGTTGCTGGAGTGGGTGGTATCACAATGCCTAGAATGAAAGAGCTCACTAAAAAGATTACAGATGTCTATCAGTCTGGAAAGGGATTTAATAAGATCACAAAACTATTGAACATCGAGCATTCCACTGTCAAGATTTCAAACAACTGTCAACTTGGTCAATCCAGGCTGTTCCAGGAAGTTCAGCCCAAGAACAGAATGCAAGATGTTGAAAGAAGTCTTTAAGAACCCCAGAATTTCATCCTGTAACAACAGGCAGTTCTTATCATTATTGGTGACAAAATGGCAGTCCACAATGAAAAGAAGCTACAAATTAGATCTATGGATGGAACCTTTACTATCCATAAAGAACATAAGGGCAAGATTAATGTTTGCTCTGGAGCAAAGTGCTGTTGATGGTAGATAGTTTAATAACACAATGCCAGAAGAGCTGTTTTGAGAAAATCAAAGCATTGTTGGTACAATTCTTCATTGTACCAAAGATGCTTGAGGATAATGTGAGACAACTGAAATTCAACTGAAAGTGGACTTTGCAACATGACAATGACTGAACATTCCAACAGATCTACCAAGGAATGGCTGAGAAAGAGAAAGAAAAAAAATTAGGTTCTGAAATGGTCAAATCAAAGCCCATCAAGATGCTGTAGAGTGATCTGGAACAGGCTATGTATGAAAAACCAAACCAGGAAAAAAAAACAACCTCAAACATTGCACAGCTGGAAAAAAATATGCATGGAATGGGAAAAAAATTCTCCTAGTTGATGTCAAAAACTACAGCTATAGGAAATGCTTGCTTGAGATTGTTTTTGCTAAAGGAGGCAATACCAGATACTAAATGTAATTTTTCTCACATAAGGAAATGTCACATTTGTTAATATTTTTTAAAAATTAAAAATAAAAAAACATGAAAAAAAAACATGAAAAATTAGAGTAGCTTCTTTTTGCTGTTCTGATATCCCTTGTTAATACGTTTCTGGCCTGATTGTACAGTATTCTATTGCCTTTCCTGTATTCTATTGCCTTTCCTGTAGTATTCTATTGCCTTTCCTGTAGGCTTCCTCTTTGGTACGACATAGCTTCTTACGTTTAGTTGTGAACCAAGGTTTATTGTTACTGTATATTCTCAGGTTTCTGTTTTTTTTACATTTTATAAAAATATCTAATACTGAATTTATAACAAGGGGAGACTAATTCAGATCTCTTCTTGAATCCTTAAGATTCTGAACTCTTAAGACACTATAAATATGGGAATAAAAGGAACTAAGTAGGTACTTAATTCAAAGCAGAAAATGGTATTGGGTCAAATGTGAACATGTTTCAATAGCATTTTGCAGCTGTCATTTCTTAAATGTTAATTTCATTTGATTTACAAAAAAAAAATTGGCTTTATTCTTTATAATTTCTGCTCAGATATCCTGAAGTTTAATTTGCTATACAAAGCAAAAAGAAAGAATAAGGAATAGGATTAGTTTTAACCAAAGATGGCAAAGGACACTTTACGTTTGTAATTTACTGTATATTTTATACATACAGTAGAAATACTTGATAAACTTTTTAAAATAATGTATTGCCAGTAATGGAATATGAGACTGTTTGCATAACTCCTAGAGAAAAACTGTTCTCCCCACCCCCACAAACTGGTTCATGTTAGATTATGTATAGAAGGTAACACATTTGGAAATGTTTCTTAATCTACAAAAGTGAGAGTGAGATAGTCTTTTCTTCTTTTTGTTAAGGTCATCTTTCATAATACGTAGGAATCCCCCCTCTAATATATAGATTTATAACATTCCTGAAGTGTGTATTGCCTAGAGCCACATGAAATACGGCAATGTGATGACGCAGCTTACTGTAACAACTAACAATTACTATGGTCTAGAAATTAAGCAACCAGGAAAAAGTTAACTTCTCATATTAAGGCACACAGAGAAGAGGAACCTATGAATCACAGGACACTGTAGCTGCCATGATAAGTTAAATTTTACCAAAAAATTTAAAAATGTAATAGTTTGTATGGAGAGAAATGCAAGCCTGGCCACTGCAATACCTTAAGTCTGTAATGGCACATAAAGCCCTGTGGGCACGCAAATCATTGCCTCAGCTCAGCTCCGGCACGCATGTGTGCATGCCTCCTGCCAGCCACTTGGTCTTCAGGTCTCTGCCACGCATGTGCAGGGGGGGCAGGACACATGTGTGGGGCATGCATGCATGTGCATGGGACATGCACATATTGTATTTTGGGGATGTGCACGCACTTTGGGCACTTGGTGCCGAAAAGGTTAGCCATCACTGCCTTAGGTGAACAGATAAATTTGACCAAAAACAGATAAAATGAAGTATCTAAAACCAATATTCCAGGATAAGGTAGAAGAGATGGGAAGGAGCTGAATTTGTAGGCATTGCGTTAAAAATGTGTACCTCACATTATCTCAGATTGTACCTATAGTTCTATTTTGATGCTTTATTAAAGATTAGCAACTGCTCTTTTTCTTCAAAGGATAGCCTTTCCCAAGGTGAGCAAAGGGGTTGCTATTGAATTTAATGTTGTTTCTCTCAAAAGAAAACAATTCCTTAATTGAGCAAGTAATCCTTGGGTTACTTACAACCCTAATTGGGGCCACAATTTCCATTGGTATGCCTAATGGTCCTTAAGCAAAACATGTCACTGAGCCACTTAGTGACAGCAGTTCTGGCAGTCCTGATTGTGGTAATTAAGTGAAAACCGGTCAGTCGCTCGGCAGAAACCTCACACTTCTCCTGTTCTGGGTGAACTGCCTCTGCTTCAGCTGCCCCCACTTGATCTAAGCAGCTCTTTTGGCTGCCTAGCATGGCTGAGATGAAGAGACTGTATTCCGCTTACCTCCACCCTCTGCCGCCACCGTCGCCAGCTGAAGTAGTTGTTGTCTTAGCCTCCCTCTCCTCCCTATTCCCTCCCTGCCCAGCCTGGTCTGGAGAATGCAGCCTCTTCAACAGTCATGGACAACCCTGACTTGGATGCCTGAGAAGCTCCACAGATTTATTTA